CAATGAAATAGAAAGTAGAAGAACAATAGCTTAAATGAAGCATCTTATACTGAACAATTAGGTAAAGTTGTCCATCACCAAAACCACAAGTGGGAATAAACAAGGAAGCCATGTAATCAGCCTAGCACTGAAAGCACAAAGGAATGAAATAAAGAAACTATGAGTCGAAGAGTTGAAGCCACCTAAATAATACAAAACCTCAGTCAGGTTTTAAAGAAGGCCACAAGCTAGCATAAAATTTGCGTCAGTAAAAATCCTCCATTGTATGGGTGTCAAAATGAGTTGACGGGCCGGGTTTGGGTCCAACCCTTAATTGACCCGACTTGAATCTAGTTAACCCTATATGTTTAATAAACAGTTAAAAAACTTTAACTTGAACCAGACCCATTAACACGTTTTGGTTAAAAAAAACTTTTTCAGAACTTAAATTTTTTTAATAGCTTATTAACTATAAAGTTTAGAATATTTAATTAAAAATAAGAATAATTATACCCATAAGTAAGCAAACTTAAGAAAAAAGGATATTAAACTGGTCATTTTTAAGTCAAAAATGGGTTGGCAGGTCAACGAACCCGAACCATTTATAAATTGGGTCAAAAACCCAAGCTGTTTATTAAACAAGTCAATACGAACATGAATTTTTTGGGTCGGGTCATGTATAGACACTTCTACTCCATTGCTCAAATATTTGTTTAATCTTAGATGACCAAGTAGTTTTAAATTTTAATTTACGCAACTTATAAGCTACAATAACCGTTGCCACCAAATTAGTAATAGAGAAGCAATTTTCATTGAACATTCTTTCATTCCTCTCATTCCAAATAATATGGACAGTAACATGTGTACTGAATAGGAAGACCCGTTTTTGTGGCATTGTGTATAAGAGAAGAAAAGGAATTCTAGACTTATTATAAAGTAGGCTTGGAAAAAAAAAAAAGTGCATTCTAAAGCAGATTTTTAATCAACCACATAGAGAATGGGAAACAATAAAACAAATGCGAGTGGGATTTAGTGCACTTTTTGCAATAAGGCACAATAATTTTGAACCCATAGGCCGTGACTGAAGATAAGTCGTTTTTAAACCATTGATGTAAGCCATCCAACATAATATAACATGTTTAACAAAGTTGCCTTTGAATCATAATTCATTATGCCACTCTACCTTACCCTTAATCTTGAAAATGACGTCTACATTGCACTTCATGAAATCCACACTCTAAGAACGATAGTAGGAATATCATTGAAACAATAATGATTAGCTATGATCAAGGACAATGGCAGAGCTTCGATAACTTCTTGAAGCATGGTGTCAAGAAAAGCATTTTAAGCTCGTTAAAGATAGAAAAGCAGCTTGGGCCTAAGATTTCCGCCAGTGACTTGCCCTTACACCAAGGATCAAAATATAAAGAAAAGAGACATTCATCACCTACACACTAGTTCAATTTATGCTATAAAAGAAGATTATCATTCTTAAGATCTTTGCGTCCATTTTATTGTGGTGTATTTATGTCTATTGATTCATGAATAATGTTTTCCTTTTGAAACAAGTTTATAAATTGATTAAAGTGATATTTTGTATTATATGATATAATTTTTTTAGTTTTTACTTGAATTTCATTTTGAATCTTGGAAAAAAAGTTATGTATAGTGCTGCAAACATTAATTTTTTGTTTAATCAAGAATATCCATGTGACTCTAGTACAATTATTAATTAGGATATAAATCATTGAACTAGTAAAATATTCGGGGTGGTGCGTGGACCCTATATATAAATGGATTAATTCAAATGAGTGATAGATTCTTTTATTATCGATATATAAGGTACACGGGTATGCTTGCTGACCCATAGTCTTTACAATGAAATTCTTTGATATCTAGATCTATGAAATGAGAAGGAAACATCATTTTTAGAACTAAGAAGGATGGATTTCTGGGATGAAAATGATGAAGCCATATGTGATTTTTATTTGACAAACTAAGAAATGATTACGACAAGTTACTACTGATTTTATTTGAAGAAGCCGCTTTTCCAAGAATTCTGGGGCTCAAGCATTTCACCCCTTTTGATCGGATTAGAGAGATCATATCTTCCAAGGTATTCTTCCCTTACAAGAATCTGAGCGCTTATCTGATCATATTCAGGCTTTAGTCCTGCAAGGAAGTTACAAACATGTTCTTTTTCAATGAAAAATTTAAAAACAGCTGCTTCTTTTGGGCTTTTGCCATATAGATTTTTCAGTACTAGGCAACTTTTGTCACTATTTTACCTCCCTATTCAGTTCCACTTATCTTCACTTTGATTTCATATATTTGTACTAGTCACGAGCTTTTGATCAAGTGCGACTGATTGAGTTCCTAATCTCCTTATCAGTAGCCAAACATATAAGTGTTACTAATGGATGGATCCATTGAATCCCAAATTCACAACTTGATCAAAGGTTAGCTTAGGCTTCGTTTGGGACGGCTTTCTTTCTGCTTCTTAAAGCAGTTTTCTAGTAGAAAAATTTTAATTTTTGTACTAAAAAGCCGCTTTATGAAGCATAAAGAAATTATGACGTTAGATCTCATTTCTTTGGTTCTATCGTTAGAAGATGAAGTCTTCCTGTACCTTTTCAATATATTCGTACAAATTATGACCACTCTAGATAGTTTTCCCATTCAGTTAAAGTCTACAAGCGCCTCACATTCAGCCGGTTCTTCACTTGATCTGAGTTTGGATTCGTTAGCTGGATGGCCCGATGTTGCCATTATGATGGAATAGCAGCGGGTCTTTTGGCTCATGAGAACAATAGGGATGCGTCTGTAACTTCAGAACAATAAAAGCCCGTAGGGGAGGAAGGGAAGAGTCTTTATAGTTCTGATATCACGTGCAAAAAGTATAGAGAAGATGTTAAGGATAGAAGCCAATAAATTTTAGTCTCTTTTCATTCCAAGTAATGGGCACATGAAGGCATACATAAAGTATTTCCTAGGAAAAAGAAAAAACGAGTGTCTTCCTTATAAAAATAGAAGAATATATACAATTTTTTAGCATTATTTTCCTGACTTTTTTTGGGGGAACATTTAGCCCAATTAAGGCAAATCCACACACATATCACATACATAAGATTCGAATCCAAAACTTTTTAGTTGGTACTTGGTAGCCAAAACTTCCAACCAACATATCAAGATGAGCTGCGTACTGTTTTCCTAGCCAAATAGAACAAAAAAAACCTTCCTAATATAAATACAAGATCCTTCCTAATGTATTTGATGAGAATTTGTTTCAATTGACGTTTGGACGAGTGATTTGATCTTTGATTTTTAGAATGTTAGAATTTCTATATATTTAATTGCTTATTATATGAAATGTGAATTGTAAGACTTCATTCCTGTTTATTCAAAACAAATAAAAAAAAATAAAACTATATAGCCGTACAGAATTATTAAGCCTTTTTATATTATGTTTTGGTGTAGGGATGCAAACACTTAGTTTGAATTTGATTGATTAATTGAGTTCTGAGTTAGAATTCAAATTTAATTACAATAGTTTGAATCAGTTCATGAGCCCAATTATGATTCAAGTAATTATTAGAATAAAATTATAAAAAGAATGATAAATTAAAAAAGACATAATAAATAAATTTTTATAATAAAATAAGATATTATTTTTAATAATCTTAGCTTTGATTGGTCTAATCACTTCATATGGACGATTTAATTTCTTATTTGACGTTTTTATATTAATTTTGTAATATTTTCATATTTTATGAACTTTTTAAATTATTTATAATATAAAAGGCAGTAGTATATAATGCAAATATTAGATAAATAAATAAATATATAATTAAAAATTATTTTGTAAATAATTGAATTTCGTCAAACAATATAAATGGTGTTTAGTGAATTGTGTTAATTTTAATTAATTTTCATGAATGATTTGTCTAGTCATATATGTTTTTATTATTATAATGCAAATATTAGGTAGGTTACCATTGTTGCTTCTGCTTATTTTGGATGTCTCTGGCACTATCTATTAACTTTTGATATGTTGTGAATTATCTTAGAGGAAGATGGATGTTGAATTTGAATCTTGCTTTGATCGAGCTCCACCATAATTTCTTTTTTGATGGCTGCACCAAGGGAGAGAATAGAGTAAAATATGAGTTCTGATTTCTTCCAAAATCTGTACGTTCTTTGCCTCTATTCTCCCTCTCTTCTCTCCAGTGGTGCAACCATCTAAGAAGAATTGGTCATGAAACTCGGTCAGGAGCAAGATTCAAATTCAAGATCCATCTTCCTCCAATATAATTCACAACATGATAAAAATGATGGTGTTATATTTTTACCTCCCATAATAATTTGTTATCAATGAATTTCTAAAACTTGGTTATATTTGGCGCACATCACTTAGATGGCCTTCGACAACCATAAGGTGCTACAATACTAGCTTTCTCTTTTGGAAGACCCTTTATTAGGTAGAAGTTCAGACATAGCTCTGTGCTTGACTCTAGCATAACCTAACGACCAGGCTCTCTTGTATACATATTGTGTACATAGTGTGTACAAGAAGATTTTATACACACTTTGGGCAGACTGGATTGTCCGATCATGCTAGAAAAAAAATCTACGGATTTTCATTTAATTGGAGGCCCGGACGTAAAGCTCCGTCCGAGCTCCCCACGTGATAATTTCTCCTTACGCGATAATTTCTCCTTTATTAGGAGGCTATTATTTTCAATTATTTTGGATTTGTTGGTCCGCTGCCGGCTTTCTTCTTGATTCCTTTCCATTTTGTGCCCGAGTTAGAATCCCAAATATTTAAATTCGATGCATGCCATTGAGATCCCATTGCTACATCTTCACAGTTGAGCTTTCGCTCGTCGCTGATCTTATTAGGGTATCTCCAAACGAACTCCAAACACTTGAATGGCGTCACTTGCGAGCTCCATTTATTTGGTTGTGGGTGAACAGTGAGACGTTAATATTGGCGTTGCACTGTTCATCTTCGCTATTTTTTCGTCTCTACCGAATTAGCTGAAGAAACGCGCGAAAGAAGATAAAGACAGTTACCTTCACAAAAAGGGGCAAAATGGTGTTCGATTGGAGAGGAATCACCGCATTTTTTAGTTTCATGACATTTTGGAGTGAAAAATGAGATTTTCGGTTGGAGATGGTCTTACTTATTTCACACACCACTTGTCATTGAGACCTTCCTATTTTTGCCGATCTAGTTGATGCCCTTTCTCAATAAAATCCCATCGCTCCGCTCATGGCTAGTAGTGGAAGCTCCATCCCCATGGAGGAACGAGAGGGATGACAGTCGAAGCATCTTCCTACTGAAATCCCACCGTAACTTCCTCTTCGCCATCAAAGTTTTCGTCGTGAAATTTATATGTTAAATATATCAAAGAGAGAGTTAAATACAATCTATGTAAATCCCCCTAAATCAAACGTAAATTCCAGTTAAGAAGGCCACAAATCTACAGTAAACTTGCAGGGAAAGAAAATTCATTCGTTACCAAGAAAAAAAAGTGTGCGTAGTGTACAGCTTTCCTATCTCCTTCTTCAGCTTTCTTCTTCCTAAGCCCTCTTCTTGTTCATGTTGGAAACCAATTGCCTCATCTGAAACCTCCAGTATAAAAAATAAGCCAAACCGAAACCAACGAGAACCATCAACCATAATAAATCTCCTTCCTCTTCCCACTCCACCTCCTCAATTCTACTGCGCAAATTGTCTCCCTCCTCTTCCTTCTCCGGCGTCACCAGAACGTATGCCCTTTTCCCGTCTCTCACTGTCACTGCCTTAAATTTCTTCACTTCCCCCACCTTCACTTCTCCCGTTATCGCCGCCTCCGCCCAACCGTCTCTACTCTGCAGCATCCTCACTCCCCTCCCGCCTGCGATCACCGCAGTCCCATCGGCCATCATTGCGACCCCCTGTGCCTCCAGTGCTGGAGTTCCATTCCTTCCGATGACCTCCTTCGCCGCTCCATTCTCCTCATCCACCTTAAAAACCCTACCCGTCTTCTCCTGAACGACGAGCAGAAACCCCTTCCTCACGTGCGCCACCCCAACCAATCCCTCATCGCCGTAGATCGCCGATCTGGAGAAATCTGTGACGATGCCCTCCAAATCAACCCTCCAGATCACTCCGGTGTCCGATCCAGTGACGAAGACGAATCCGGTGGCGGGATCGAGACCGATGCCACCGGGGGAGGCGGCGAGGGAGGAAGAGAATATGCGGCGGTGGGGGCGAGGCGATCGGAGATCGTAAGCGGTGAGGGTGTTGGGATTGCGGATGGCGACGAGGAGGCGGCGACGTCGGTTGTCGACGAAGATTGACGAGACGGAAGAGATGAGTTCATCCGAGACGATTGTCTCGGCGACCCCAGCGTCGGATATGGATGAAATGATAGGGCCCGAAGAGTAGCCGACGACGAAGTGCTGGGCGGCGGGGTCCCAGGCGAAGCTCGCCGGGCGGAGAACGGTGGAGGGAATTGATATGATGTGACGATGGGAGGCTAGGGCGGGGATCGATATGGAGGAGAGGAGGAAGATGAAAAGGCTGAAGAAGGAAGGAAACATTTCTGGTTTAGATGATTGCCGTCTGCTGTTAGGGTTTGAGATAGAATCGCGATTGTGCGGTCTTTCGATTTTGGATTGGGTCTGAAACTACGTTTTCATGCCCGCCTGCCTGAGGTTTTGTTTGGTTAACCGGTATCTTTTGTAAAGATAATTTTAAAAATATTCGTGATAAAAATGGAGGTTTATAACGGAGAAGCACATATAATTTCAATTACAAGACATTGTTTCCTAAAAAAACATTTTTATAAAATATCAAATTTAAACAACAATTGGAAATTATTTTTTCGATTTCAAGACCAAAAAGATAAAATTATGCCGTTCCAAACTAGGCCTCAAGCTTCCTCACGAGAAATTATTATAATATAATGTGTACCTTTGTTATGTATTACTATATGTCGGGTGATGTAATACGTCTTGATTGACCTGTAAATAATTCAGAGACCGCATGTAATATTTTCTCCCTCCTCAAGGAGACATTTTTAAATACGGAATCCGAGGAGTTACAGTAGCAAATTTACTCCGGTCTCAAATCAATGGCCACAACTTTTTCTTAAATTTTTTCTCTTTTGTACACAGTATATAAAAAGAGAAATAAAAAATCATGTGGCTCTATACAATTGAAGTGCAGGCGAAATCCGGACTACCCACATAATAATTTTTCTTCCTTCGTCATGAGGGGTTCATGATTATTTGCTCAGATTGACATCATGGTAACATGTGATAATGATTCTAATCGTGGGCTTTTTTATTTTATTTTATTAAGGTTATTCATTGCTACATGTATATATAGTAAAATTTATATGTTAATAAAACTTAATATTTAATGTACCGGTGTATATATGTTAAATCCTCAAAAATTCTATAATGGTGTTTTATGCATCATTTATCATGTACAAATAATTGCAAAAGCAAAAGAAATTGAGAGAGAACAATCGATGCAACCCACCATAGAGATAGAGGTAAAGCTTAAACCCGAGAGCTCATATATTTGAGGTTTTTTGTATTCGTTGTCTGTGTAAAGTAGGAGATCAGTGGATTGCCTTTACTCATATGTATTATGTGTCTATTAGAGATAGCTTTTTAACTATTTTTTATTTTTCAGATTATAATTTATATAACACTTTCAGGCTTTATTTAAAAGATTATTCTTAATACTTTTTAAAATAACATTTTACTAAAGAAAAAAGTTTTGAACTATAAATTTTAATACTAGAAAGCTGTCTTAAAAAACAGTAAGAAAATATGACTTCTTTTTGTGCATTATTTTTTTAATGTTTTCGTAGAATTTTTGTATTAGAAAGTTGTTGGAATATAAACAAAGCCTAACTCTATTGGAAATTGCTATAAAAACTAGTTTACTAACGCAAAAGGTATCTAAAAAAAATAGTGGCCAAACGAAACTGTGTTGAGCTCTGTAAAATAAAGTAGCAAAAAAATTAGCCCAGAAGAAATCTTAATCAACTCTTTAAAAAAAAAAAATAGCCTTTTCTATTCCTAACTGATAATTCTACATAAAATAAATAAAATAAAATGGCAGTTAATAGCAAACCAAAGAACGATTTGTTGGAAATATTTATGAACAGTAGCAGAAAATAATCCTAAGATGGGATGGAAAATCAAGGCTATCATGCAGGGAGCGGGCGCAGGTAGAGTCTGGACGCGAACATGAAGCAGTCTTGGGTGTGGGAGTGAGGGCCTCATTGTGAAGCCCTCACGTGGGTCATTTCCGGGTTAACGGGTTGACTCATACAAGATTTGATTTTTCAAACGGGTTAAGAATTAAAATCCGAACTTGCCCTGTTTGTAATTAAAGGGGTTAAGTCGAATTGGATTTTTAGAGTAGGGTTCGGGTTTGATTTTTGGGTCACGTCATAATTTAACACCCCTACTAGACAGTCATTGAGTCAGTCCCACACCCAAGACTTTATCTTGGATTTTCTTCTTCTAAAAACTTTCACATTAAAATATTGTGCTTGTTTAACACTTCTTTCAGCTTATCTACATATAGGTGCATTCATGCACGGTCTTCTTAAAAACCTCATTAAGATAAAATTTTAACGTAGAATTCTTATAATTTTTCAAAACTTATTTTCTAACGTGTGAGCCATATATTTTTCAAGAATAGTATTGTCTTATACTATGAGTGTATTTTGGATGGCATATTAATTAACTTATAATTCAAATATAAATTACTTTTAGAAATTTCTTTGTAATTTATTTTTAATATTAGTTTTTAAAATAAAAATAAGAATAATAACTTAGTTTATTTTAGGATGATTTATAGACATAGCACTGAAATGTTACATTAGAAAATATTGGCGTCGCACTGTTCACCTGCAAGTAAATGACGGAAGATTTGACGTTCAGCTGGAGCGACCGAAAGACACCATATACATATTTTACGTTCGATTGGAGACGCTATTACCTACATAACACTCAAACCATCTAAATAAAATAAAATATAACACTTACTATTACCTTCCCATCACTGTTCCGATTTCCATCGTCATTTGTCATCATTCTTATTATCCATGACATGTCATTGGTCTAGATGTCCTTCACATGCCGTTAGTTGCTAATGGTTCCATTACCCTTCATGTATATCACAAGTCTGACAAATATCTTATATTGACTTCCTTTCTCCTTATATATCTTCAAAAAATCATCTTGATCGGACACAAATTTCGAGGCAAAATTAAATTGGAAACTTCAAAAATTAAATCTGGGATCACCTGAACTCCGAACCCAACGACACCAAAATTGACTCAATCCGAGCCCAAATGAGTCCAAATCAATAATCCGAAGCACTGTTGAAAAATTCGAACCACAATTTGAGTTACCAAACGGTTTCCTAACATAACGTGCTTATAGTCGAATAGAGCAGCTTGACTAGACAAATCCAACGAGCCCACGATCGCCGAATTCCGACATCATTAAGACCTTTAAATGTCAAATGAACGATCCACGATCAAAGGATTTAATATCGGCCGTCCATTCAACCACTCCCTATTTGCCCTTGATCTCTCACTTATTTACAGGCCATGCTACTCCATAATATATATCAATAATTAGATATATCATTTCTCTTGAGAGGGGACCCAAACAAGAAGAAGAAGAAGAGAATGATAGAAGGGAAGAAACTCCTCTTCCACCGTCGAAATTCTGTCCGACGCCCGAGTCACGCCGGAATTTTGCCCGACGCCAAAGTGAGGCTGGAATTATGCCCGACGTCCGAGTGATGCCGAAATTTTGCCCAAGTGACGCCAGAATTCTGCTCGAAGCCCAAGTGACACCAGAATTCTGTCCGACGTCGAAGTGACGCCGGAACTCTGCTCGATTTCCAAGTGACGTTGGAATTCTAAGTGACTCTGAATTCAACTCGAATAAACAACTTGTTTGTAATCGAATTTCAATCAGGAAGTGTAGCATTGTAATCTGATCGTCCTAAATTTTAAGGACGAGTCAGCCTATTGTACCTCAAATAAATACTAGTATAATTATTTCAACAGGGCGTGACCACGTGGTTTTTTCTCTTTCCAGAATTTTTCACGTAAAAATTCTGATGTTATTATTTCTCCTCTATTTGTATGCTAGATATTCGTACAACGCTGAGACGGAAATTTTTCAACTCTATCACCACGTATATTTTAGTCAGCAACACTCCTATTTGTGCCTACACTCCTATTTGTGCCTTTTGCTTTTGCCTCTTAGCCACTCGCCTCTACTCTATTCACAAGTCACCACCAAAAAGAGCTTCATTGATGAAGAAGATACATTTCATCCCTCCTTATATCCAATAGTATACCCATAAACTCTATTAGCAATGCTAAAAGATTTAAATAGTTAAATTGAATTTCGTACATGTCAATCGTAATTCAAAATATTATATGTAAATCGCAATTATTTTATTATTATTAAATTGGAATAATGTAGAGTTTTTTAAATTCTGAAATAATAAAAAATCTTAAAATTTTAATATTAGTTTATTATGTTATGCAAGTACTTGAGTGTTTGCAGTAGGGGCACTCGAAAAATTCTAGAACTAACATCATGATTTGGAAATAAAAAATAAAAAATAAAGAAGTATATATATCAGGACTTCAATAACTCACATATATTTAAATTATCTTTGTTGGTAAGATAATTTAAACTATGTTCTAATCTATATATAAAGTGTTCTAATCTATAAAGTAAACTAAAAAAAAAAGTTCTATCTATAAAGTAATCAGTTAATTTTTTTAAATATAAAGTTTTTTTTTTATATAAAAATAATCTTTCATATAGTATCAAATTTACGAAATTATAAAAATAAAATAATCAATAAAAAATTCATACAAACTCGCTCAAACTCATAGAGACAGAGTATTAGATAAAAGTGATTTTAGAAAATAGTAGGCTTCTTTTGGGATAAATTTTTTCCTTTTTTTCTACAGGGGCTTTTTTGCATAAATTTTTTTTTTCTGAAAAAAATAAAAAAATAGTGCAAAAAATTTGTTTTAGCCTTTTTG